GCTGGCTTGGAGACTGTGCTCAGCAGCAGGGGGAGCTGCTACAGGTGACAGGTCTACAGACCAGGGTAGGACGGGAGGGCTGGCAGCACCCAGAGTTCTGGCAGGAGGGGACCAGGCACACTGCAGGCCTGCAGCCCACAGGCACGCCACAGGCCACTTGGAATCTCACAGGAATGAACATGGCAGGCCTGCAGCTTGCAGGCAAACAGCAGGAGACCTGGCTGGGGATGGACACAGAACAGGCAGGCTGGCAGGGGCTGGACACACAGCAGGAGGCCTGGCTTGGGATGGATACACAGTAGGCTGGCTGGCAGCCTGAGGAGCAGCTGGTGTCACACATGGTGGAGAGGTGGCTGGTGTTGGCAAGAGGGTGGTGATGTCTGGGGCTCCTGCTCCATGCAGCTTTTATACCCAGACCAGGCGTCCAAACAATGCACACCACAGCTGTGTCTTCCTTGTTTTGCTTCCTCTGTCCTGTCCCCAGGCTGATGTTTCTATCACTTGTGTTTCTCTTTTTGTTTTTCCCTCAGCTTGTTAACTAATGACCCCTTCCACAAGTACTTACCTCAGCTGGGCCCCTTCTCCAGTCCTTTCCTAGCTCCATCTGAATTGTGCCTCACTCCATCAATTTCCTGACTGCTATTGTATTATTCCAAAGAACCTGGAACCAGATTTTCCTCCCTTGTAGGAGAATGGTCCTCAAATGACATGAATGTTCAACTTCTCTGGTGGTCAAAAAGGGTCGGCTGGAGGTGGGAGGCTGAGCATGGTGAGAACTTGTGATGCAGTAGACACCAAAACACTCACACCTGCTGTTTTAACCTAATGACCAACTCACTATTCTATCCAGTCTGCTTCAATATGCATGATCTTAAAAAGTTTTCCACAGGCTTTTTCCCTTTCTTCTCCTTTTTGTCTTTCTCACTCCTCTGCTCTCAGTTCCCCCATGAGAGAGAATTCAAAGAATGTCTTTTCATCTCCAGGCATCTTCACTAGAGTGATGGAGCATTCAGACAACAAGACACACAGCTCTGGAGACTAATGCCAGTACTTTGGGAAATAAGGAGACAGACGGCCCCCAGCTGGTCCAAGTGATCCCTCAGCACACACACATATGGAAGCCTAGAAGCTGGGCTCCCCCTAGAAACCCCATTCTCCGTCCTTGGGAGGAAGACTATAGTTTTTGGGATAGCAGTTTATTACATTTCTCATTTTGACTGGCAAATTTGATAAACCTTTACTTTTTTTCTCCAAATTCCTGCTTTCATTTCTTGGAACTGACAATGTACTCAGGGAACCGAATTCCAAGTATCACACTGGTTATGGACCGCCCTGGACTCAGAGCTGGAGTCAGCTGACAAGGCAGGAGGAAAGGAACAGAGACTGCCTTTCCCAAGGTCAGGTCGGACAAAGGGTATGGAACCATAGAACTACTTCTCAGTGGGACCCTGGGTCCTTGTCTCTAGAAACCCTCTTATTAGGACAGGATAGAACAGAACTGAAACTCCTGCATGGACACACAGCTCAAAGGAGAAAGGTTGGAGCAATCATATCCTGGAGAAGTATGTGAGTGTGATGAGGTCCAGAGGAACCACGGCAGGAAGCCTGGACAGGTTAGAGAAGGCTCCAAGGGCAGGGCTACCCTGTGCACATGGTCACCAACCAGACGCAAGCACAAGAAGCTCACTGTCACTTGGCCCAATGTGAGGTCTACACACATCGTTGAGCATCTGAGTGTGGCTCGATGGGCTACTTGTCTGGTCAATGGAAGATGAAGGATCATGGCCACTTGTCAGAGGCCACCCCTTTGTCTTCTATCTGGAATACTTGGCTGTCCTTCTACAGCCCCACCTCAAAGAAAGGAAAGAGGTTTCATGCATTCCTCACCACCACCTGCCTCCAAACATATTGCTTATAAAACAATGTACATCTGGAAATACGGCACAGCCACATTCACAGACAGCCCACGACTCGCTGTTTCACCTTTAACTCCATCCTCCTCTGCAAGGAGGCTTTGAGAATTGAATCAGAAGATGTGTTTCTGAAAAGAACCTGGAAAAGGTGCAGCAATAGATTTGCAGGAAATGAAAGTGTTCAACTTGCTGACCCTGGGAGCTTCCAGGAATGGTGGAACCAGACTCATCCCCCTCATTAACTCACTAGAAAATATCTAGAACACATAGCACATAGGAATTAAAGAAGTGAAAACCCAAAACAAGGAGAACACCCTGAACACAGAGGAGAAAGGACACTTCACATTTGGAACAAAAGTAGAAGACGCAGACTCCTCAGCAGAAACAATGGAACCAGGGGACAATGGGACAAGGCCTTCAAACCACTGAAATAAAACATGCAACCAGGATGCTTTCTCTGTCAAGATGAAAATTGCACCAATCTGAGGATGACATGAAAAATATTCAGCTAAGCAAAGCTGAGAGAAGCCCTCAGCCACAGTGTTGCACTATAAGAATTGCAGAAGCACGAGCTAAGGATGAATGAGTTCCCTAAGATCCACCTGGATTTGCTGCTGTGGTCACATCCACAAGCCCTGGGGAAAGCTGTCATCTGGACAACAGAATCACGGTCTTGTCATGCTCGGCATGAACTCCTGTCTTCCTGGTGGGGCAGAGGCACAGCTCAAAGCCCTGTTTCCTGTTTTCATTGTCCTTGTTTGGACACGATTGTAAGGAAAACTGGACCTTCCCTATGGACCTTTCCTAGATCAATGATTGTCCAGGTTTTCACCTCTCTTCTGAGCATCCCATGTTCTAAATCTATTTCCTGAGCCTGCCCCACAGGGTACACTAGCAGCACAGGGGGGGCTGGAGGAGGCTGAGTGCCTCCCCTCTGGAGAGAAGGGGTCAAGGTCTCTGACCCATGTTTCTTGAATTGGGTGGGTTTTTTGTCTTCTTGAAGTGGTAATTAGGTTTGAAATCAGAGTACCACACTTGCTAGGCAGGAGGCTACCAGGTATAGCCACACCTCCAGTTCATTTTTGCTTGTTATTTTTCACACAGGCTCCCCTGTGTTACCCACGGCAGGCCTCAAACTATGATACTCCTGCCTAGCCTCCAACTTAGCTGGGATTCTATGCATGACGACAATGCACAGCTTGTGTTTGTTGAGAAGAGTGCTAGATAACTTTTTTGCCTGGGCTGACCTCAAAACTTCATCCTCTCCAAATCTGTTTCCCAAGTAGCTGACATACCAGACAGAACCCCACCATGCTGAGCAACGATCCACAGGTCTTAGCTGTGGCAGGAAGCTCACAGAAGCCCTTTACCTCTCCTGCTCTGAATCCAGATTCCCCTCCTTCCAGAGACCACACCTGCCTACATGGCTGTGTTGAGGGGCCAAGTACACGAGTGTGCGTGGGTCCATGAGCAGGTGTGACCACACGTGAAGGAGTGTGAGTGGGGTATGTGCTAATGTGAGCATGGTAGTGAGAGCCTGGACATGAACGTGTGTGCCAGTGTGTGTGTGTGCATGAGTGCATGAGATGAGTGTGTGTGAACGACTGTGCTCGTGTGCATGAATGGACAGGTGCCCAGTTCAGGTGCTGCTTGCTGCACACAGGCGTATGTGGAGTGGGTGCACGGGTGTGTGTGCACTTTCAGGACTGTTGTCCATGGGGACTGGACCCATTTCCTGCACACATTTATCTAAAATACCCAGTTTAAACCACAGTTGGTCCAAAGGCCACTTTGTCTGCAGGTTACTTAACAACTCTGCAACTCAAATCTCATCCACAGACTTTGGGGTAAAATGAAAATTTGTACCCAAGGCACCAGCAGGGATACTCCATATTGGGACAAGTTAAAGGCAGTGCCCTGTCGAAGACCAGAGCCAGGTAACTGCAGGCCACCCAAACCCCAGGAAACATTAACATGGAATGGTGACAACACACACAGGGAAGCCTGGGATGTCCCCGAGTGATAGAGCACTTGCCTAGCATGCACAAGGACCTGGGTTCAAACATCAGCTCCCCAAGAAGAGAAGGGAAAAGAAGGGTAGAGGAGACGCAAGGGACAAAAGTACCCCCTCGACATACAGGGACTCTCACCAACGCTGCACAGAGGGAAAAATGTAATCCCAGAAGATTATTACCTGCAGAAATGACTGAATTTTAAGTACATGTTTGAGGCATCCTGAGAAGCATGGTTCAACTCTATTTTCTAGAAACACATCAAACAATGAGACCATACTTCTGACGAATCACTGTCCCAGTGGGTAGCAGTGAATCGCTGATGTTCCACAGCGATGCTGGAAGTCAGAATGCATGTGACTACTTTTCTATGACAGTTATTCATCAAGAAATAAAGATGGTCGTCCATGGACAGGTGATGGATCTGTGCTCTGAGCGGATGGAGTTCAGTGACTTCAGACTGGAAGAGTGGAGGCTGCCCTGCCGCAGAGCCCAGGAAGCAGAACACTGCCCCTGAAGGAGACGGACGCGCTATCCTGGACACACTGGGATCCCATCCATGTACCCCTGCTTGGGGACACGCTGGAAAGGAGAGCTGGGTGTCAGGACAGAGTGACCAGAGAGAGTAAATCTTGGCAAGAGCCACCCGCTCCTGGATCACTGCCTACATAACCCCAGTACATCTCAAAGACCCGTTCCTCCACCCAGTGCTCCATTCTGACAAGCCCATGAGACGACTGAAAATGGTTTACACTGCAATCCTTTGAGATCAGAGGAGTAGCAAAAATCAGTTATGGAATCAGAAATTAAAGCACAGTCAGGCCCTGGAAAAGCTGCTTTATTTGGCTCACTGTGGTCAGAGAATGTCTGACTGAGTCAGGCCTTCCCTGGGAGATGAGCAGGGACAGGGGGCATGCAGCTCATTCAGCTCAGTGTCCTCAACACAGGTTCCAGGGTGGGCAAAGCAGGCTTTCCACCTGCCTCCCTTGCTGAACCTCGGCCCACAGAGGACAAGAGCTGGGAGGGGTACAGCTATGACCCATCTGCATGGGGACAGCTGGCTTGGAGACTGTGCTCAGCAGCAGGGTGAGGTGCTACAGGTGACAGGTCTACAGACCAGGGTAGGACCGGAGGGCTGGCAGCATCCAGAGGACTGACAGGAGGGGACCACGCACAAGCCTGGCCTGCAGCTCACAGGCACGCCACAGGCCACCTGGAATCTCACAGGAATGAACACGGCAGGCCTGCAGCTCGCAGGCACACAGCAGGAGGACTGGCTGGGGATGGACACAGAACAGGCAGGCTGGCAAGGGCTGGACACACAGCATGAGGTCTGACTGGGGATGGACACACAGTAGGCTGGCTGGCAGCCTGAAGAGCAGCTGGTGTGGCACATGGTGGAGAGGTGACTGGTGTTGGGAGGAGGGTGCTGATGTCTTGGGCTCCTGCTCCATGCAGCTTTTATACCCAGACCTGGTGTCCCAAGAATGCACACCACAGCTGTGCCTTCCTTGTTTTGGTTCCTATGTCCTGTTCCCCAGGCAGACTTTTCTTTCACTTGTGTGTTCCTGTTTTTGTTTTGCCCCAACACAAAGAACTGTCCTTTCCTGGCCCCATCTGATTCCTTCTGTTCCCTCATATTTTTTGATTACATTGACATTTCAAGATTCTAAGCTTTAGGACCCACATTTCCTCATGGTTGAATGAGGGTCCCCAAACACCCACAAAGTTCCTACTTCTCTGGTGGTCAGGAAGTCTTCAGAGTATACAGGCTGTCCACTTATGATGAAACATCTGAAGCTCAGAGCTGGAGTCATGGAGTGGACAGACACGTAGATGGGCAGAGTCTCCTTGTCCACAGGTCCAGACAGATGGAGGTGTGGGTTCTGGTGAACTACTCCTTGGGAGACCCTGAGCTCTTGTCTGGAGGATATGCCTTTTTAGGGACCAGGATGAGAACAATACTGCACTTCCTGTGGGAGATTCAGATCCAAAGGAAGAAGACTGAACCACTCAGATCTAGGTAAAAATGGGAATCTGATGGAGTTCCACAGGCACAAAGCAGGGAATTTCTGTGGGAAGGGTAGGATCTGAGGGTCTGATGTTTACCACCCAGCTACAACACTACATAGTATCATCATTCCTTAGGACTACAAATATCCACACCAGGTCGCTTAGAGTCTGGAGAGGAGGAGTTCTGAGCTCGGCACTGTGTCTTTGGAATACCTCTTTTCAGAAGGCAAGATGAGGGGACATGGCCACATGTCAGAAGCCACCCCTTTGCCTTCTATCTGGAATATTTGACTGTCCTTCTACAGCCCCAACTCAAAGAAAGGAAAGAGGTTTCATGCATTCCTCACCACCACCTGCCTCCAATCATATTGCTTATAAAACCGTGTACATCTGGAAATACAGCAAAGCCACATTCACAGACAGCCCACAACTCTCTATTTCACCTTTAACTCCATCCTTCTCTGCAAGGAGGCTTTGAGAATATGGATCAGAAGATGTGTTTCTGAAAAGAACGTGGAAGAGATGCAGGACTGGATTTGTAGGAAATGGAAGTGTTCAACTTGCTGACCCTGGGAGATTCCTGGAATGGTGAAACCAGACCTGTCCTCCTCAACTATCCAGCACAAAAATACTAGAAGACATAGCACTCAGGAATTAAGGAGGAGAAAATCCAAAACAAGGAGAATACCCTGAACACAGAAGGAGGAAGAGACACAACAGAGCCGGGAACAACGGTGAGAAGACGCAGACTCCTCTGCAGAAACGATGGAACCAGAGGACAATGGGACAAAGTCTTTCAACCACTGAAATAAAACATGCAACCAGGATGCTTTGTCTGCAAAGAGAAAATTACACCAAACTAAGAATTACATGAAAAATATTCAGATAATCAAAGCTGAGAGAACCCCTCAGCAGCAGAGCTGCACTATAAGAATTGTAGAAGCAGAGCTACGGTTGAATGAGTCCCCTAGGATCCACCTGGGGATAATTATACCCACACGCATTGCTAAGAAAATTTGGAGGCAGGGCCTGTGTGAACCTCCAAGTGAGAAAGGGCTCCAGAGCTGAGGGACCTGGAGAGGAGACTCCAGAGAGGCCAACAGGAGAGGCCAGAGGAGGAAACCAGCACCTGCCATGAGGACAACTCCAGGGTGTCTCAGAGTCAGTATGCCTGAGGTCCCCAGGTAAAGCTCCCCAGGTATGCTGCCTCTTGACCAGCCCAGCCTCCATCCCAAACCTACCCGTCCAACCACCATGTGTCTCAGGCTGCCTGCTGGCTTGCTCTGATTCCCTGTGCTGTGTCTCCACCTACTGATGCCCATTCTGGGGTGGTAGCTACTACTGCCACCTTGTCAACTGTCTGGCTCTGCTGTGCTGATGCATGGGCAGTGTGGCTCCTCCTGCCAGCCAGCCAACGAAGTGCCCTAACCTGCAGTCATGTCCTGTGTGCTCGTGAGGCTCCACTCCTCCATGAGCTGCCAGTCCTCCTGCCCCACCTTGCTCTTCAGAACAATCATCTGTGTGAACCCAGCTGCTGCTGGCCTCTGCTCTCCAGTCCTTCAAATACTGGATTTGCTGCTGTGGTCACATCCACAAGCCCTGGGAAAAATTACCTTGGACAACAGAGTCATGGTCTTGTCAAGCTAGGCATGAACTCCTGTCTTCCTGGTGGGGCAGAGGCACAGCTCAAAGCCCTGTTTCCTGTTCTCATTGTCCTTCCTTGGAAACAACTTTAAGGAAAACTGGGTCTTCCCTGTGGACCTTTCCTTAAATCAATGATGGTCCAGGTTCTCACCCTCTTCTTAGCATCCCATGTTCTGAACCTACTTCCTGAGCTTATGCCACAGGATACACTAGCAGCACAGAGGAGGCTGAGAGTGGACTGAGGGCATCCACTCTAAGAGAAGAGTTCAGGGCATCTGCCCCATGTACTTGAATTGGGTGGATTTCTTTCTTTTTTTCTTTTTTTTTTTTTTTTGGTGTGGTAATTGGGTTTGAAATCTTGGTCCTACATTTGCTAGGTAGGAGGATACCAAGTATAGCCACACCTCCAGCTCATTTTTGCTTGTTATTTTTCACATAGGATCTCCTGTATTACCCAGGGCAGGCCTCAGACTATGATACTCCTACCTGCCTCCAACATAGCTGGGATTATGTGTATGAACACAATGCCCAGCTTGTGTTTGTTGAGATGTGGGCTGGATAACTTTTTGCCTGGGCTGACCTTGAAACTCCATCCTCCCCAGCCTGCCTCCCAAGTAGCTGAGATACCTGGCATGACCCACCATGCCCAGCTCTGCCCACAGGTCTTAGCAGTGGAAGGAAGTTCCCAAAAGCCCTTCACCTCTCCTGCTCTGATTCCAGATTCCCCTCCTGCCAGGGACCACACCTGCCTACATGGCTGTGTTGAGGGCCAAGTACACGAGTGTGCGTGGGTCCATGAGCAGGTGTGACCACACGTGAAGGAGTGTGAGTGGGGTGTGTGCTAATGTGAGCATGGTAGTGAGAGCCTGGACATGAACGTGAGTGCCAGTGTGTGTGTGTACATGAGTGCATGAGATGAGTGTGTGTGAACGACTGTGCTCGTGTGCATGAATGGACAGGTGCCCAGTTCAGGTGCAGCTTGCTGCACTCAGATGTATGTGGAGTGGGTGCACAGATGTGTGTGCACTTTCAGGACTGTTGTCCATGTGGACTGGTTCCATTTCCAGCACACATTCATCTAAAATACCCAGTTTAAACCACAGTTGGTCCATAGGTCACATTGGCTGTAGATTACCTAACAACTCTGCAAGTGAAATCTCATCCACAGACTATGTGGTAAAATGAAAGGTTGTACCCAATGCACCAGCAAGGATAACTCCATATTGGCATGGGTCAAGGGTGGTGCCCTGTGGAAGACCAGAGCCAGGTAAGTGCAGGCCACCCAAACCCCAGGAAATATTAACATGGAGTCGTGACAACAGACACAGGGAAGCCTGGGACGTCCCCCACTGGTACAGCACTTGGCTAGCATGCACAAGGACCTGGGTTCAAACCTTAGCTCCCCAAGAAGAGAATGGAAAAGAAGAGTAGGGGAGAGAAGAGGATAAAAGTACCCCCTCAACATGTGGGGACTCTCACCAATGCTGCACAGAGGGAAAATGTAATCCCAAAATATTCTCTACCTTCAGAAATGACTGAATTTTAAGTACATGCTCGAGGCATCCTGAGAAGTATGGTTCAACTCTATTTTCTAGAAACACATCAAACAATGAGACCATACTTCTGACGAATCACTGTCCCAATGGGTAGCAGTGAATCGCTGATGTTCCACAGCGATGCTGGAAGTCAGAATGCATGTGACTACTTTTCTATGACAGTTATTCATCAAGAAATAAAGATGGTCGTCCATGGACAGGTGATGGATCTGTGCTCTGAGCGGATGGAGTTCTGTGACTTCAGACTGGAAGAGTGGAGGCTGCCCTGCCGCAGAGCCCAGGAAGCAGAACACTGCCCCTGAAGGAGACGGACGCGCTATCCTGGACACACTGGGATCCCATCCATGTACCCCTGCTTGGGGACACGCTGGAAAGGAGTACTGAGTGCCAGGACAGAGCACTCAGAGACACCCAGTCTTGGCAAGGGCCACATGCACCTGGATCACAGAGCCTACAGTGGCCCCAATACATCAGTCTCAAAGGTCACTTCCTCCACCCAGTGCTCCCTGCGATGAGCCACAGTGAGACTGAAAAGGTTTACACTGCAATCCTTTGTGAACAGCAGAGTAGCAAAAACACATTTATGAAAACACAGGACAGAGCACAGTCAGGCACTGGAGAAGCTGCTTTATTTGTGTCACTGTGGTCAGAGAATGTCCTGACTGAGAGTCAGGCCTTCCCTGGGGATGAGCAGGGACAGGGGGCATGCAGCTCATTCAGCTCAGTGTCCTCAACACAGGTTCCAGGGTGCGCAAAGCAGGCTTTCCACCTGCCTCCCTTGCTGAACCTCGGCCCACAGAGGACAAGAGCTGGGAGGGGTACAGCTATGACCCATCTGCATGGGGACAGCTGGCTTGGAGACTGTGCTCAGCAGCAGGGGGAGGCTGCTACAGGTGACAGGTCTACAGACCAGGGTAGGACGGGAGGGCTGGCAGCACCCAGAGGACTGGCAGGAGGGGACCAGGCACACAGCAGGCCTGCAGCTCACAGGTACAGGACAGGCTGCCTGGAATCTCACAGGAATGAACACGGCAGGCCTGCAGCTCACAGGCACACAGCAGGACTGGCTGGGGATGGACACAGAACAGGCAGGCTGGCAGGGGCTGGACACACAGCAGGAGGCCTGGCTGGGGATGGACACACAGTAGGCTGGCTGGCAGCCCGAGGAGCAGCTGGTGTGGCACATGGTGGAGAGGTGACTGGTGTTGGGAGGAGGGTGGTGATGTCTGGGGCTCCTGCTCAATGCAGCTTTTATACCCAGACCAGGTGTCCAAACACACACCACAACCGTGACTTCCTTGTTTTGCTTCCTCTGTCCTGTCCCCCAGAAAGACTTTTCTGCCACTTGTGTGTTCCTGTTTTCGTCTGCCCCAACACTAGGAACTGTCCTTTCCTGGCTCCATCTGGATTCTGTCCTATTCCCTCACATTTCCTGATTTCCTTGAGGTTCCCAATATTCAACAATTTGGGACCCAGTTTTTCCTCATGGTTGAATGACAGTCCCCAAACACCCACAATGTTCTCACTTCTCTGGTGGTCAGGACAGCACTGACACAGTGTGTCCACTTGTGATGAAGCATCTGTACCTCAGAGCTGGAGTCAGGGAGTGGACAGACATGTAGATGGGCAGAGTCTCCTTGTCCACAGGTCAGGGGAGATGGAGGATGTGCATCTGGAGAACTACTCCTTGGGAGGCTTTGGCCTTTTTCCGTAGGAACTGTCTTGTTGGGGACCAGGATGAGACACAATACTGTACCTCCTGGGTGAGATTCAGATGCAAGAGCGTAAGGCTGGTTCATTCATGTTTTAGGAAAACCTGTGAATCTGATGGAGGTCCACAGGCACCACAGCAGGGAATTTCAGCAGGAAGGGGAAGGCTCTGAGGGTCTGGCTGTCCCTTGCTCATGTTCGCCATCCAGCTACAACACTGTAAATTATTATCGTAACTTAGGACTACTGATGTAGTCCACACCTGGTCACTTTGAGCCTGGGGAGAAGCTCTGAGCTCGCACTGGATCTTTGGAATACCCCTTTTGACGAGGCAAGAATGAGGGGACATGGCCACTTGTTAGAGGCTACCCATTTATCTCTTTTTGGTGTTCCTGACTGTCCTTCTGCAGCCTCAAATCAAAGAAAGTATGGACATTATGTATCTTCCTTCATCAAGGAGCACTTTCTGCTGCATACCTGTGAGCCATGGCTGACGTGTGTGCCCGTGACACTCTGTCCCACTGTCTGTGAGCCCATACACTGGCAGCCCTCCACCTGCTGCTAGCTGTTCTCCACACCCTGGTCTGCAGGGGCCCTGCTTGCCACTGACCACATCCTTATATCCAAAAGAACTGTCTTTGCTGCTCTTGCCACATCCAGGCCATGTTTCCTGGTCTCATAATCCACGCTTTGACATGACTTTTGGGAAAACTAAACTGGGTCTTCTGTCTGGACCTTCAATGTCCAGGTGCTCATCCTCTTCCCTGGTATCCCGTATTCTGACCCTGCTTCTCAGGACCCCTCCCACAAGGTACACTAGCATCACGGGGAGCTTGATAAGGCCTGGTCCTCACACCGCAGAGGGAAAGGGATCAGGGCCTCAGCCCCAAGTTCTGAGCAGCAGTGGGATGTTTACAGAAGCCCTCCATCTCTCCTCCCTGAGTCCTAAGCCATAATAAATTGGCCCGATCATTCTTCTCTGCTCACCATGCAGCTTCTTCCTGGGAGCCCAGCACCAGCTGTCACCACAGGGTCAAGATCTCCCGAGATAAACTTCCATTTGCCAAACTCAAGTCCCTGTAGGACCTCTCAATGCAGACAGAAGTAAGAGCACCTTAGCTTACTCAACCCCGGAACAAGAAACTGCATGGGATTTGAGGCACGCAGGACACTGAGGAACCTTGATTCCTAGCTTTTCCTTAGTGACTCATCTGCCATATTCCCTTTTAAAAATAAGACAATCTGACCACCCCCCCCCCGCCCAGTGGACTCCAGGAGGCCACTCTGCAGTGACTCAGATCAAAGTAGAGCCTGTTGGCTTCCTCTGTTTGTATGTGAAGGAAAGGAAATGCCCTGGTGTCCCATTCCCGAAGCAGAGATCAAAGTGAACCTGGAGGGTTCTACAGTCAATAGTTGGATGCTGCTCCTAGAGGTCGTGCCCCAGGCACAAGAGCTCTCAGCCACGCCAGGCTCCTTAAGGCCACTAAGGAAGTATCATTGTCATCCCCGCCACAGAAGAGCACCTCGACTCCCATAAACCCAGCTAATCCTGGCCAACTAATCTTTGTGCTGCTAAATTTCAGAGATTACTCATGGATTCTCATTTCTCATCTTAAAAAGGCCTCCAACCTGGAGGACCTCCAACCCTGGGAGAACTTCAACTGAGGTGGACTCTCATCCCAGTTCATCACTCACTGCACTTGGACCTGAGCAGATGAAACCCAAAATACTAGACCAGGCCTGGGTAACTCAAATGATGGCTTGAACAGTTGGTGTAGTGTGAGGAATGCTTGTCTGTTTGACCTCACGCAGGCTATAGGATGTGTTGACTTGAGACACACTACTGTCTTCTGATCCTTGGCGTTCCAGCCCTCAACAGCAACATCCTGGTGCATTTTCTACCACACCCCACGCTACCAGTCACGGTAGTGTGGTTCTGTCTAAAAATTTATGGTCCTAAGTTGTCCCTTTTCCTTTTAGCTCCAGCTCTGGACTGGAAGGATAATGCTTTAATTAAATTGTCTTAAAGTATTGCTAAGAGAGGACTCTGACCCACTCTTGTATATGTGAACTCTTCTTCTAACGGGTCACAAGGAGCTTTCCCTTCTGGTTTTGCCAAGTACAAGTTCCTGACCCAACAAATGTTACTCTACCTTGTCCCCACTTATTTCCTTGGAGGATAAATAGATTGGATCTTAATAAGAACTGCCCCTTGTCACCATTCTGCAGCCTGAGTCATAGCTGGTCTCATCCCTTGCAGAACAAAGCCCACTGTCCCTTATTTCCCGCTACCTCCCTTTGCCCACTCCTAGCCCTTGCTTTCTCCCAAATGCTACTTAAGGCCAGAGTCACCAAGAGAAGCTGCTGCACCATTTTTTCCCCAGCCAGCCTGGCAGTTTGGACCTGCCATTAAACTTTGCTCTATGGGCGTGAGATTTTTCTCATGAGCTTTCTTTGTGAGCGGCATTTTTGCTAACATTTTGGTGCTGTGACTCGGATCCAGGTGAGCTTCCAGCATCAATCTTGCTCTCCCAATTGGTAAATTCAGGCCCTCCCGATATACACTGCGCTCCCAAACCTACTTTGGCCACAACGCAGACATCCCCTATACAGGGGTGCCTGTCCAGGGGATTATACCAGCCTGCCAAAGCCACACAGGTGGGAGCTGCCTTCCTTAAGCCTGGATAAACTTACTGGGATCTGAGCTGCTTTGCCAGGGCCCCTGACCCCAGACTAGTGCCGCCATCGCCACTCTTGCCACCATCGCCACTCTCACTCACAGGGAACCTCCTCAAAGCCAGTGCGCTCCCATTATTCGCCCACCACCAGTTGATTTCCTCAGTCCTCCCTTGGTGAGTTCCCTCGCGCATCAGTCATGGTTCTCTCTCTCTCTCAGTTGGTCAAAATCCTAGTACTAGGTCCTGGCTCACTCCGCCCAGGAACTTGGTTCCTGGGGCGTGGACGATCCTCTTAGTGAAGATGTTCCCTTGAGGTCCTCCTCTGTTTTGTCCAAGAAAGCAATATCTTGGGGATGCCCACCATATTCTTCCTTGGACTGGGTCTCACCATGGGGACTGGACCTTCCAAAATTCCCTCAGACACTCCTCTGGGCTGCCTACTGCCCAACCTCAAGCCCTTATGGCTCTCACCTGATCTCAAAGCCCAAAAACACATTTTTCTTTCCAATCAGGCTTGGCCACAATACCAATTGGACAATGACTCAAAATGGCTGCTTAATGGCATGCTTGACCCTGACGCTCTCAGGGATCTCTATAACTTCTACGAACGCACTGGTAAATGGAAGGAACTTTCCTACGTCCAATCCTTTCCCTATCTCTGCACCAAACCCTCCCTCTGTACTTTCTGTTCCCCTGTGCGGATTCTATTAGCCTGTAAACCAGTTTCTAAATCAATCAATTCCTCTCCTGAACCTCCTCTTTCCCCATGTAAACAGACTTCTTACACTGCTTACCATGCCTGTCTCTTCCTATCTTCCTGAGGGACTTTCCTGTCATGTTGTTAAACCAGCCACTCCTTGCCACCTCTGGCCTCATGGTGATTCTGGCTCTGGGGAGCTCATGCTCCCTCCCTGTGGGCTGAGACCAAGCCCAGGGTTTATTCAGGTACGCCTCATGCTACATTGTGGGAGTCCTGTTTGATTATCTGATGACTGCTTCTCTTTTCCCCCCTGTCTAATGTCCCTTTTTCCTGAGACAGTGACTGGAGAGTGGAGGTTTCACATTGCTGAAAGTGTTCCAGTACCAGTCAATGGGCAGGACCTAGAGGCACAGGTGAGGGCTGATCCCTCAGGCGTGTGTCAAGCCTCCGGGCTCTGCCTTCCCCTCCCTTACCTAAGATGTCAGCACACCTTTTCTGCCTCCTCCATGGTCTCACCATGGTTCTTTGTCCCTGTCTGCCTTCCCCTCCCTGGGCTTACTGGGACCCTGCCTCCCATGAAAAACTTGTAACATGGTACCTTATGACTTAAGTTATTCCAACTAGTTTGCCAGGCTTCTCAGTCAAAAATAACTTTAAATTAACTGCTTTACAAAAAGCACTTACAAAAAACTACGGCTGCCACGCTCACGCCCTAACTTCGCCCCCACAAGGGGAGGAGGAGAACAAACAGGCGCGCTTGTGCACAGGATGCCGGCTCCTAAACACAACAAAAAACCTGCCATAACTAAAAAAATCCATAGAGAGGACCCAACGCATCCTAGGCCACCAGCCACACGTGGCAATGGCCGCCACTTCCCCTAGAATAAACGTTCCCAGAGGACACAGAAAGGGGAGAAGGGCGATCGGCCACAGGATCAGGCTGAGGCAGTCAGGGTCATTTGTCCCAGGTGTGTGTGGAGGGAGTGGCGCCCTGCACAAGCCCTGCTCCCAGCCCCACCTCACACCTGGCACCAGACCCAGCCCTTGTAAGCCAATTGTTAACTCAAGGTCATAGTCCCAAAAATAACACATTACTGT